TCCTTGCAAGAAGAAGGGATATTTATGATTTTAATCCATAAAAGGCTGTTATCCCCTGGAGGTGTCACAATCTCAGCTTTTGACCACATAAAAAAACAGTGTGATTAGCAGTAAGAATATACTGCCCTGTGGTTCTCCCCTCCTCCTCCTCCTCCTCCTCCTCCTCCTCCTCCTCTACAAAAAGCCTTTATTTACAGATTTGCACACTCCCATTGGGAGGAGCATAGTTTGTTTATCCCACCCTCTTCTAGTATTTTCGTCACTTCCCTGGACTTTAACGTTATGGTGCAATCTTAAGATGCTTTGAGGTTGTGTGGCATTTTGATTTCTTTTTCTTTTTTTGAAGGTCTCATTTTTTTTTTTTTTGTTTCAAAGTGCACTGCACATTTTATATCTCCCTGGTAAATGGAAGGGATGGGTTTGGGTAAGGAGATGGGAGAGGGGGGATGGGGGTGGGGTACTGGATGGTGGTACGGAGAGCGAAGCCTCCCTGGAAAGAGCTGGCGCTGAGGCCTCCAGGGCCGCGGGTGGTTTTGGCAGCTCGGCCAGCGGAGTGGGCACTCTCTCAGACATCTGTTTGCTCACTGCTGCTGGAGCTGCTGGCTGGATCGACAGGGGCGGGGGGATGGGGGGGGGGGGTTGGAGAGCTGGAGCGTTCAGCCACAACCAGCACCAACAGCAGCATCTTACACAGGACACACGAAAACAACTCAACATTATAGCTATTAAAAGTCATGAATCGGACCAATGTTGGGGTCATGTGGAGGAGTGATTTAAATGCATAGGTAAAGCCAGGCCGTTCATGGACATGTGGTTGAATAGAAAACCTCAAAGAATTATGGGAAATTATGCAAAAACAATATAAAAACTGTTCAGCTTTGATTTGTTACCATTTCAGTTGATGTGTTTCTCTTTCTTCATCCTGTCTCTCTCTTATACAGCGTATCTTACACATATCGAGGACCTGAACAGTCATATATATATGTGCCACCCCCACCATTTACCCCACATCCATCCATCTTCACACCACACACACACACACACACACACACACAGACCTCACATCCTCTGGAGACAAACCAATCCCCAACAGCCAGAGGGTGACACCACAGCAGGCAGAACTCATAACACTGATGTCCAAGTTGAGCTGCTGAGGCTGCTCTTTAAGGATGGAGTTCCTGTCCAAACGATGGCTGTCACTCCCAGCGCCACTGGACATGTGTGATCCCTTAAAGAAATCAACCCAGTAATTTGTCATGCCAGACACCCTGAGATATTACTCAGTCAGCAGAGCAGCTCACTTAAACAGTGCAAGAGGAAGGCTGCTGTTATTGTGCCAATAACTCAATTCAGGATTCTCGTAAAATTAACACAATAACACTGTTTTACTTTTAACAACTGCGAACACCTGCTCAGGTTATTGCAGAGCAGATCATTTAAGACCTAAGTGTTGGATGATTGTTGTATTGTAACTTTGTTACGATGCAATCGCATGCCATTTAGGGAGTGTAGGAAAATGAATAGGAGTGGTGTGGGTCAGAAAAGGGGGAAGGTTATGATTTTTTTCATTTATTTTGGATGAAGAAAGAGTAAAACATCTTGTGAGAGCACAGGAGAGCCTTTTAACGTTTTTCACCCTGAAGGTAAATTTTATTTTATTCTTCAAGATTTATTACAGTTAAATATATGGTCAAATATTTCCATCAAAAATATGAATTCTATGTGCTTAACAGGTCATAAAGTGCATTTTGGAAAACAATCCTGTCTCTGTGTAAGTTTTTCCCTCCATATTAAAATCATCCAACAGCTAATATATATCTGTATGTCTGTATTCAAACGGAAAAGACATGGAACTTTGTGCACTGTATGTGCAGCGAGCATGTTATTTTTCACTAACCTTCAGGAGCTCCTACCTTCACATTATTCTGCATCAACAGAAAGCAGAGCTACAATAAAGTTAAATGTGTGTGTGTCATACAGTATAAAGTGAAAAAAAAAAAAGATAAAAAAAAAAGATTGGCTTTGATGAACAGGACGCATCATTTTAATATGTTTTCTACATATTCCTCTCATGCTGTGGGATTTGGTGGCTATGAGAATGAATACTCTGTAATTTTAAGGTTTTGTACCAATTCAATGGTATCATATTTTGAGATATTGAAAGGAAGGGTGTTGCATTTTCCATAAAAATATTAATAATGCAGAGGGCCTTGCTTTTTAAATATGAACCATAAAGTTCAGCTGCCTCCACCCACCTATAAATATTGTTGTACAGTCCCTTACTACTATATAATGTTATAAAAAGGGTGTAGATTGTCTGTGTGTGTGTGTGTGTGTGTGTGTGTGTGTGTGTATGCAAAGATGGCACATGCCACCTAGCACAGGCTGCAGCAACATGCCTAATGAACCTAGTTATGAACTTTACATTTCAAATTCAATGTAAAACGTAAGTAAAACTAAAGAAGTGGTGAACGTCAATATCACCCTGTTTTTGACTGGAAAAAAATATATGATGTGGATAAATAACCCCGTCACTAATACACAACTTTGTCTGTTATTTCATTTCAACACGTCACTATCACAAAATATTTTAAAGCTCTAAATGAGACATACAGGTCATGTATGACATCACACCAATGAGCTGTAGAGAAACTTATTGCTCTGAAACCTATTTTCCCTTAAGAATGAGCACGATGGAGCCACCGGACAGCCCACCTCCACTGCCCTCACACTGAATGGCATTCCCCAAATGTGACTTGGCAGTTCTAATCAAATGATTTAGCACATTAAATCACCCTTTCCCCGCATAATCAGATTATGTGAGTGCACTGCGCAGCATCTCCACAGCATACAGTATACCTTAACCTATTAATATGACCAACCTTGTGTCAGTGATTTCCCCTGCGATGGAAACAGTATCATGTTAATTATCACAACCATCTGGTCCGAGCAGTGAAAAAAAAAAAAAAGCTTTCTCTTCCTCTCGCAGATTTGTACCTGTCAATCAAAGATGGCTTCAAACAAGCCACTGGGGCTCAGGAACGGCAGAGAAGAACCATGCTCCAGTCTCAGAGGATTTAGGAGTGGCGTTAAATTAATCTTCAGCTGGCAATTTGACTCTCCTCTCTCACTATGTTGTTGCTCTTACCACAAATCATTATTAATTTTGGTGCTGGGTTCCTAATATGGCCAGTAAACGCTATTTATGGATGTTTTAAGCGTGGTAGTTTTAGAGAGTGTGGGACTGCTTCATTTTTAACCATCTAATAAGCTTCAATCTAGTCGAGTTTATCTAGTGTGTGTGCAACTAAATCTTTACTTTGATTTTTTTTTCCTTCATCTATTTAACAGTTTTTCTTTGTTCTGAATGGATCATCATTTCCTCATTCCTTGAGATATAAAAGGGTGTGCACAGTGTGACAAGGCTGAGATAATGAAATGATTCACCGTTTATGGCTGTCACTATCCCATGACATCACTGTGTTTGGATCCTGACCGAGGCTGCATGTGAGGGGGGAAAGAAAAAAGAAAGAATGAAAAAAACTTTAGCCACCAGAGGATGGGAGGAAGAGACAAACTGAGACAAACCGAAGAGGCTCGCAAGACAGATGCTCTCCTCAAGGTGAACCGCCGCTGACCCGTCTGCCACATAAATTATTCTGTAGTTTCAGACTCCATTCCAAAGTTGTGGAATTGGGTTACAAGATAATTTCACAGGCCACTTGCTTGTCTTCCTTGGCAGTCCAACTGGCTAATTGAGAGGAGTGATTTCCAGTTTGGGCAACTATTCAGAACATGGCAGTCAAAATCTGAATGATTCGAAGGCTCTCTCTCTTTAAAAAAAAAAAAAAAAAAAATTCTGAATATTTTTCTCGTCCATAGGCGGACTAACTGTAGCCAAGAGGAGCCGCTCACGACCTGATCGACAGTCCATCAAATGCTGATAAATAAACAGAGGGAAAAGAGTCGTTTCTCTTCCTGGAAATTCAGTGTGTCAATTTGAAAATATTTTACAATAAAAGGTCAAACACATTTTTAACTATGAGGCTCAGAGAATTTACACCAGGCTGTTGTATACTGTTTAGTAATTCTGAATAGATTTTGTGCATGTTTTAAAAAATACAGACAGCAGGCGCCTAATTCAGCTTTTGACCAAGAGGTCAAGTCATTTGAAGTCATGGCATCTCAATCCAGATCAGCTCTCAGGGTGCATCATGGGAAAACGAGTAGTCAAGCAGCAAGTGAGCTACTGTGTTTAACCAGTATGGGTTCAGATTAGTCTAGGACCACATGTTAAAGGCTGTTAAATTACCCTCAGCTGTGGTGGTGGGCTCTCACCTAAACCCCCCCTCCCCTAAAACGTTTAACATTAAAAAATGTATATGGTTTTAAAGCAGCATTAATCTGATGGCAGCAAGAAAAATGTGTGAGACGTAGTTTACCTCAATAAAGACAAATGTTTTTATATTGTCACTGTGATGCTCGGTGAAGATCACGGCTCGAGCTGCAGTTTGTCTCCATCTCTGTTGATATTTACCCCAAAACACAGGCGCTAATTAAGGGCGACGCTAATTAATTAGCTGGAGTTAAAGTAATTGTGGATCAAGTGAAGTTCACGAAGCCGCGGCTACGGTACCCGGGGAGGAACAAACGTTATCTTCAAACAAAAGCGCGAAACGCTTTCACCTCCCCAGTCAGTCCGTGCGGATCGCGTCGAAGTGCAGCCTCATCACGGAGAACGGTGCTGAGAAAGAGTGAGAGAGAGAGTGAGAGAGAGAGAGAGAGAGAGAGAGAGCGAGAGAGAGAGACTGAGAGAGAGAGAGAGAGAGAGGGTGTGTATGTGTGTGTGTGAGAGGGAGAAAGAGAGAGAGAGAGAGAGAGAGAGAGAGAGAGAGAGAGAGAGAGAAAGCCAGAGCCAGAGCCAGAGAGACGAGAAAGATAAAGGAAAGACAGACGGAACGATAGACTTGTGCGTAAAAAGTACTGGTGCCCCCTTCTTCTTCTTTTTCTTTCTCAATTTCCATCAGACAAAAACCCAAAAACCGGCTGCTTGGATGAACCAAAACCTATCGATCTGTCAGTACTACACCTGGATTCACTGACCAGCCGCACAGCAGGCATGTCCCGAAGGAAGCAGAGCAACCCCAGGCAGATCAAACGTAAGTTTTTTTTTTTATGTTGTCTCGCCGCTCCACTGCGTTTCCAAGCTTATTAGAGTTTGCAGAATATTGTAATGATAGTGACCACACTGAAGCCGATTCAGCAGCGCTCTGCTCGCGCCACTCATGTGTTGCCTGTCACGGTCCGCACGCTCCAGTCTCCCTCCGCACGTATTTAGTGTTTTTTGAAGATGTGATGTAGAATCCAAATCCCACGGTGCTGCTGGCTGAAAAAGTTTCACCGCTGCTGCTGCCAAGTTGAAGCAAAATGAAGTTATTGGCTTTGTGTGTTTGATGTGACGCTATTGTAGTTTCCATCCAAAATTGTGTATCAGTGCATCACTTTGACTGAACGTGCAGACTCCTCTTCTGTAAAGCCTTTTATGCCAATTATATCAGCATTAATTATAAATTATAGGCCGGTAATTAATAATGAAGCTGCAGCACGAGGCTGGTGTAAAAGGCCGATTTGTTTTTGATTTGTATTGCTATTAAATGTTTTTATTTGTAACACATAGACACACACGTGTGTCACACACACACACACACACACACACACACACACACACACACACACACACACACACTCCAACTCCTTCACACACTCGTAATTTTTTCCCCTTTTCCCATTCACACTGACTAGCAGGTGTGTGTACGTAAATACGTGCACACACACTTTTCCAAACTTGACAGTGCAGCCTGTAAACAGTGGATTATAAATATGGATTGATAGTTGCACCTCGTGCAGTAGCAGGAAAAGAGCAGGGACAGTTGTGGCATCTTTTAATTTTAATTGAACTGAAGTGTGGCTTTGCTCTTTCACCTTCACTCTCAGCTGCACAGTCTCCTCATATTTGCTTTTCAAATATAGATGAACATTTAAACTGCTGTCCTCAGAAATACAGAGCTTTATTATTTGTTTTGAATCCAGGGATATTTAAATGAAGTGTAACCTCGTGGCCTGCATTAATTCAAAAGTGTGTCATATTCATGTTGTTGAATTTTAGTCAAATTGAATATTTTTTAAAATAAAGGTTTCAACACAACTTTGAATAATTTTAATGATTTGAAAGCGCCTGTAGATCATCCACAAATATGTGGGGATTTGTCCACACACACACACACACACACACACACACCCACACACATACACAAGCACATGGACATAAACTTTCACATTGCAAATACAACTGACATCTGAGTGTGTGTGTGTGTGTGTGTGTGTGTGTGTGTGTGTGTGTGTGTGTGTGTGTGTGTGTGCGTGTGTGTGTGTGCGTGTGTGTACAGTGTGTGTTTTCAGTTTGTCCACTGTATGCTGCTGCTGTAAAAAGCAGACTGTGGTTAGTTTGGGGTCAAAATATCAAATATCAAACCACATGCAGCCGTTTGTAGGACGTCACTGTCACACTGTTTATGTGTGCTTCAAGACAATTCAGAAGTAGGGCAACATTTGTGTGTGTGTGTGTGTGTGTGTGTGTGTGTGTGTGTGTGTGTGTGTGTGTAGGTGTGTGTGTGTGAGCTCACATGCATGAATTCATGAGGCCATGTGTTGGTGTACAAGAGCTTTTTATTACATTTGTGTCAGACAGATTGAGCCACAGAGGAGACTTGATGTCACCTTGTTTTATTTCACACGTAACTGTAACTTACTAATTATGTGTCGTAAAAAAGTTTTTAAAGTTTTTAAGGCATTTTTGACGTTTGCAATCTGGATTTTGACGTTTGTTTTTTTAGGTAAAGAAAATAAGGATTTATCAGTATTTTTAATTCTGTACTGTAGATTTTATTAATGTAAAAATTAATGAAAATAATTAGTTTCTTCAATTATTTTTAAAACAACCTGTGTAACATTTTAAATATCTTAGTTTTTACTGACAATCGTCTTGTTTGAAATGTTTTATGAATAAATCCACTTATTTTAAATACAGTGTAGAGAAGCTTGGTACAGTATAGTTCCCTCAAACTCTGAAGAGAAACAATTATTTTGGAGAAACATCCTTTTATTTTAACCATCTTTGAGTTCATATTTGTGTTTTTTTTTTTTTTTGCTGGCATCCACCATAAAACCCACAACCATTTCTAATCAACAAAGAAGCACGACACCATATGACGTGATAGGCCCACTCATCTTTGGACCAATCCCATCGTAGCATCCGAAATTTTGTTGTTGAGCAAAGGAACGTCTAACGTTTGTGTTACGCTTTCGTCATTGTGACCCGGACTTGTGTGAATTAGTATGTCATGTGTAAGATCTTGTTAATACTGAGCCGGTGTGCAGCCGTACTGTATAATCAAGCTCTAGTTAGAAACAGAAAGGTCACGGGGAGCCTAGATCCTCTCCTCTACCCCGGGAACTCTGGGAAAAAGGCCGAGGAGGCACTGCACAGAAAGTCAGCACAGACAGTCATTCTAAAGGACAAAAAGGTTGTTGGGCGCAGCCCCCCCCCCCCCCCCCCCCCCTGCATACATTGGACCGTTATCTAAAATTGTGATTTATGCAGTATTTTAATATTTTGCTTATTCTTTCCCCTTGGGTGCTCTCTGAGCGGTGATAAAAAGGCGATGCTGAAAGAGCACCATTAATTTGCTCCGATGACTGGGGAGATAAGGCCAGATAATGGGAAAGATAAGCAGAGAAGATATACCATCAGAAACCCGATTATTACCATTAAAATTCCAGCCCAGCAATCTGCAGCTGGCTGATAATTCCTTCTCCGTTTCCACCACTTTGGATGATAAGGCAAAAAATAGTCACTCAGTGCTCCTTGATTAGGCTGCCTGGATATCCCGATAATACAGTGATAAATTATGTATTTTCCCCCCTTGTTTTTTTTCTGTGAAACGTTACATCTGATTTTTTTTATATATAAATATATATTCCTGGCCCCCCTCCTGTATCCCCCTCCCCTTGTTGCTTTTCTAAGAAAGCGAAAAACCCCTATACACTTTTATTGTAATAAGAGTTTGATAGAAAGAGGAGATAGTGGTGGAGGTGTTTTGTGTGGGAGCACATATCAATGTTATCAGCTCATCTCCCAGGGCCAGCTGCTAGCTGCTGTTGTTTTTAGCCTTATCACCCCGTGCCAATATGCCAATAAATTGCCCAGATTGTTAGCTGTTCCAAGGCAGGTCAGTAGAATTTGACAGGAATGATGAAAATATCGCTGATGCTCTGCGGATTGCGATTAGCTGCTGTAATATGATGTGTGAATTCCACCAAGCTCCCTCTATCCTCTCTTCTCCCTCCCTCCTCTCCTCCCGTCCTCCTCCTTCGTCTTCAACAACCCCCCCCCCCCCCCCCCTCCATCTCTCATCCCCCCATCCCCCGATGCCGCACCTCCTTTTGCTGAGAGCAATATGCGACATTAGTAAAATACACAGAAAAAATCTAAATACATAACCGCGATACTAGCAAGGCAACGAAAACATATTGTTTACAAATACTCTAGGTTAGTTTGATGACGAACTTTATTATAAAAACCTGGACGACCTGGAGAGAATTACGAGAAAAAAAATATAAAGACGTAGCAATCTACATAAACTCGAAGTAAGATACCCAGAGCAAAAATCACTGCATATCGCATTCATCAGAGAAAAAGAATACATCACTGTAGGATATGACACCGGCTAGAGATTTGATAATAAAAACAAATGCAAATTAATAATAAAATAATAAAAGTGTAACAGAGATTTCGAAACCAAAAGGTAAACCAGACTTTGACGCAAGATATGTTGTGCGTACTAATAATTCGTCGCGGCGGCACATGCGATATAAATAGTTTATGACTGCACATCGGTAATTTCCAGTCATTAAGCGGAATGGCTTGAAAATTCATACTGTAATAACAGCTCGGTTTCATGATGGGAATGAGCTACGAGTACGTTGTACGTTCATACGCCGATATACAGAACAGGGTTCTGGAATGCTGTATCGGTAACTGTATGTATGCAGATGGTCGCTTCTGAGCAGTCAGAGCGATCTTGCTGCATGGCAGCCGTGTGGGAATTAGCGTCCACACAAAAACCAAATGGTACTACGATTGGTAATAAAGACAGGGTTAGGACTGGCATGAAGTGGTTCAGATATGAGTATGTGCTATCGCAGGGTCAGTGCTTATACTTACTATCATGTTAGGCTGCATTAGCGCTAGAGGGAGCAGAGAGTGTCTCGCGATAGGATAGTAATGCATATTTAGAGTATTAGTTGTGTATTCTGTGTAGTTGAATTCGCTAGCAGCGAAGTATCGGGTCGGTAGCGAGATGAGGAATCGATAGGAGTCGAAATGTATAATACTAAGACAGCTGATTGTCCAGGATACATCGTGACGATTTAATCATGAACATGATAAAAGCTTCATCGCAGACGCGCATAGAGCTAACGGCGCGACCGAGTGCGTGAATTTCTTAACCGGCCACCGCTCCGGCATTAAGGAGACAGATGGCAATCACACCCAGATCGGCCGCACCGCCACCACCCCCACCCCCTTCGCCTCTCCCCGGCTGCTGGTGGTGTCCATACCTCTATTCGTACTGAGAGGAGAACATTTTGATGCTTAATAGGAAGGAAAGATATGAACAGGCTGAATTGAAACCAGGACCCTCAGAGTAATTTTTCTGTAAAATTGCCCCCCAAAGTTTCACGGCGTAAAGGGGAATCTGGATGATGTAGGGAGCGTGCCTCCACCAGTGTTTATGGGAACATATTGAAGCGGCCCTCTGAGGCCATGCGCGGACATCTAATGTCAAATGTGCTTATTAAACTGACTTAGTGTTCTCCCCTTTACTGTTGTCTTCACCATATGGACCGTCTGAGAATTCATGTTGCTTCCCTTTGGCTCTTTCACTCGACACTGTCCAACCAGAATCAAGCACCATACTGTAGTGATTATACTGCTCTTTTACTGTAAGTTTGTATAGCACCCGAACGGCAAGTGCTCAAGTCCCCAGAGCTCACCACTGTGTCACACTGTCAAAACACCTAATCTACTCATGTGATAGTG